CAAATACGCTTCAAAATGCTTCAATCCAGAGGGGGCTGTGGCCCCGCCCAGCCCCTCCAGCCCCGCCTATAAAGGAGCCATGTGCTGGCAGGCGGGGCTCTGGCCCCACCCAGCCCCTTCCAGCCCCGCCTATGAAGGGGCAATGTGCTGGCAGGGAAATCTCATAGAAAAGTTCGTTATGAAATATCATTCAGTCATCTTTGAGTTTGTACAATGTATGCGTGCCCTGGCTGTTTATGAACGTTAGACGGTTATTCCGCTCCAGCTGTTTGACTCCGGCCAAATATATCAAATTCCCTCTTGACCAATAATTCTCCAATAGACTGATTTACTTCACGTAAGGTATTAATTTCTGACGGGACTGTAATGCTTCACCTGTGCAGGAATAGTTTGAGTTAGAGAAAATAGCTTATTGTCTTCCTTGGAGTACTATGTACGCCTATTTTCCGTCTATTCTGCTTATGCTGTCTCGTTGTCATTACTTTGGTCCACTGGTTGTGTGCACATGCATTGGTCTCTTTGCAGCGAGCTACCCGTCCAACAAAAGGGCAGTTGCAGTAGCGCCTTCTCCCTGGGATCATGACGGCAAAACCAGCTAGCGAAACCGAAGCTGAGGAGGATGGAAAACCGAAGGTTAATCCCTATAAATTGGGCACATACGATCTTGTTCGTTTAAGAATCAGTCGCTTGATGGAAAACCCGGTCAGTCCCTCATCTATTTGTAATTTTAGTAGGACGTACCTGTCGTTATTCCGGAGTCGACAAGGAATGTGCAGCCTAAAGGGCCGCCGGAGTTCGTCAGAAATGTCTGGGGTTAGTTTTCGTCGTCATTTTGGCTCACAGTCCCTGTTCAAATATTTTAAATACGGCTAGGAACCCGTCATTTCCTTTCTACTTACGCCCAGTTATGCAGAAGAAAGCATGTGAAATGAACCAGATTTCGCTTTACCACAGTAGAAAGACGGTCAGTAAAGATGTGTCCGAGGTCGGGCGTAGAGACTGACCTGTCACCGACTCCCCTTTCACAGGTGCCAGGTAGCTGTTGGTTTTTTACCTCATCCGAGCGGAAGGTCGCGCGCGTTGCGGGCACTTCTATTACCTCTGTTGGTTCTGGAATCAGTCTTAAAAAGGCTTTCAGTCCGACGTACTAATTCGAGGGCCAATCCCCTTGCAAGTTGGCTAAACTCCAAATCACTAGCATTTACGAGCCTTGGCGGTTAAATGTGCGCCCGTCGGATTATAGTTAGGAATTTAGCAAAAAATCAGCCGCATTCTTTCTACACGGGTAAGATGACTAAGGACCGAGACTTCTATGCTAGAGTTTTAGATTTCTCTGCTGCCAACCCAGTTTTAAAGTCACGTCCTGCCTGGTTTTTGGTTTCACATCCGCTTAGTCTCGAAGGGATGCTCTATAGTCAGAGGAATGGAACCAGGCATAATGATCCAGTAGGACCCACTACCGTTGTACACCTACCGCGCACTTCCCAATCCCATTCCACAACAAACAAGATTTTACCTTGACCTCATACCCACCGTAGAACATGGTCTGCGTGTCAGGACTGGCGCCACAACATCGTAGCAGGGGTGTAAACAAATTCTTCTGACAGTTGCTACTGGCAGTTGGTCCCATAATTTTCAACGAGTTCAGCGGTGATACCCATATAAACTTTGAAGAAGTCAAGGTCGGCGAAGGTGCGTTTTCGAGTATTCATAATCGTACGTGTTCAGTAATATGAAGACACGGTAGAGCAGCGAAAGTTGAAAATTGGCCAATGAACGTTAGTAATGGAGGAAAGGGCTGAGGGTGCTTAGGCCTCAGAAAGCAGGGGTAGTTGGTGTACGGCCAGGGGGCAGGGGCGAGAGGGTATGGTAGCTTGACAGTCGGTTGCGTTAGTATTTCGCCGCCGTAACGCGACGTGGCAGGATGCGGGTACGGACGTGGGATTGAAACTCGGTCAGAGTAACTTGAGGGCTTTAGTGAACTCATCCCTCGAGCACAAGACCAGGTTGAGTAGCCGTGTGGGCAATGTCCCGGCTACACCGGTGGCAGCTTTAACGAGGCCGTTCCTTCGCTGCACACTGAATGTTTGATTCTGATTCGGTGGTAAATTTTGCAGTCAGGTCGATGAATTAACGATGGGATGACCCCTTGGACTCCTGCCAATGAATTTCTCCATGGGAAAACTAGAGAACGACCAGTTATGCTCGGTTATTGAGGACCTTAATTCCTATAATCTATATGTTGATGGTACGTTTTGTAAAGACGGATGAGTACCTTGATCTGGAAACCCTCGTGGGTCTCCACCCACCGTTGGCCTTTTCCGTCTGGACATCCTACTTAGTCGGACAATTCATAGGAGTGTATTATGCAGGGTACCATGAACAGGGAAATACACAACTTCCTGCAGTGTTGTCTGTCTATTGCTGACGAAGCGTGGTCCACTGTGTAAGCAATCGAACTAAGAGAATATACCCTCCATGTACGCTGATGGGACTCACCTTTGCACGACAGTGCGGGGAAACCGTTACTCCATAATTTCATCGCAATGTAAACGAAAGAACATCCGCCAAAACATACTTCCTGACGGCTGAAAGGGAAATATTCCGCACATTACAATTTTCGGGGATCCGGCCGGCGAACCCATGTAAAGTCGTCTTAACTCCGCTATTTCGCGCACACACCCGGCGCCTCGCTCCTCCGCATTGTTTCACTTGAACTTTTCTATTGCCCGTTGGGACACAGTGGTTTATCTGCCTTGCGTTTACTTGTCGGCACTGATCTGGGAAGTTTGCCGGTCACATCCCGGCCCTGGCTGGCGACGTCAAAACGACCGTTCTAAAACCCGACTGAGAGCGGAAATAGCGGAGTCAAGCGCCCCTCTGGCCACGCCTGTGATTGACATAACAATTGGTTAAATCCACGTTGGGGGTCTGCCGCCGGCCAGCTGTGGTGAAGGGCGATCACTCACGACGCGGTTGACCAGCATCTTGGAGCCACCCAGACCAGTTCTGACGAAAGCTGTTAACGATACAAGTGGAGCCCCGTCTTCCATCTGTGATCGTCAGGCGATGGGCATCGAGCTGCAGTCGAATCAGCACGCGACCGGATTCATTGTTACCTGTCTTACCGTTTTTAATTGACCGGTTTTTGCTGGCCCAATTGAGGACACCCAAGCTCATGAAGGCGTGGTCGACTACGGGATTGTGTGAGTGCTGGAATCAGGTTTTGTTTGAAGTGGCTATGCTCCACGAAACGCAGCGGTCACCTACTACTTTTTGCGCTCACCGAGGTCAGACCTTAGAGAGGTATCGCTATTGTAGGTTCTAGCAACGACTAAAGTATTGATGGGACAGCCCCTCAGTCAATTGTGCAATTTCGTGGTAGATTCCCTGCTGTTTCGAGCGTACACGACGGTGACGGAGAGGAAGAATTGGCTTCTCTGCATCCTACGCTACCCGTCCGTCATTATTCCTGTCTCGGGGACGGGAACTCTATCATCGGGGTCAAGTGCGTCTTCCGCACGCCCGACAGGGTAGGCCTTACGGTCGGTGCTTTGCTCCAGACATTCTTTTATCGTCTTGACCAACAGTAAGCCTTTCTACTAGACAACAACAGCATTCAATGAGGTTAGGTGCGCAGTACTACACCTCAACTAAGAATAAAAATTCAGCACGACGTTAGTTATGCCCTTATTTTAAGATTTAGCGAATCCAGTAAATCCGTCTTCCCAGCCGTCCTCATCGTTTTGTAGTCGGATCATTGTTCCTTATCAGCCAAGCATCCGTATTCCCGAAGTCGATGTCACTGCCATCGTCCACCACTAGTGACCTTCTATATAGGGGGGACTGGATGGTACACCAAGGATTTTAACACACCTGTGGGATATGAGTAAGCCTGATGCCAAGGGGCCTTCTGTCAGTAGTATGTAACATCTAATACTCGAAATGATGTCCGGTAAGTTAATCGGGGTTGGCTGTTAGCACTAATTGACCGGGTTAATTCGAATGCGGGAACTATACCGCCCATAGCGATTTCACTGACGATATTGTGTTTTCCTTCCCCTATTTTTCTAGGCTCTGCAGCAGGCGTAGGCAGTGGCGACTTTCACATCTACCGAGGACTTCGCAGGCGAGAATATGCCAGACTGGAATTCATTGAAGAACAAAAAAAGCAGGTTACCGCAACTCGTTTCTAAATGGTCTGTTTGACAGCAAGCAGCGGATGAAGAATTCCAGAGGTTGCGTGAAGAAAGGATAAAGGAATTTGAGGCGAGAACGGCAAAAAAGCGACAAAGGCGTCAGAAGAAGAAAGAGAGACGAAAGAGAAAAAAAGGCGAAAAGAAAGCGGAACAAAGTGAGGGCAGCGATGAAACGGACGGCGAAATTCCTCAGGCAAACAGTGCGAACGAAGACGAGGAGAAGCATTAGCAAGCAAAGATATTTGCCCTTGAGCTCAGTTTGTAAACAACGCACCCATCCTACTCCCCTTTGTTGTATGAACAATTCGTTCTACCGATATCGGCCTTTGCCCGACTCGAATCGGACACCGCCCACTCGGTGATCGCATTTGGTGAGGGTTAACGTGAGGAAACACTAAGACGGGATATGACAAAGTTACTCTAAGTCCCAACTCCTGAACTAACTAGCCACAACTTTTATTGCCGTGATAGTCCAAAGGCGTGTGCGCGAAAACCTGGTATACCTACTCGTCCGCACGTACAACGGCTTGCGAGGCGACATTCCATGACCACGACGTCGTCTCCGTCACAGAACTTCCGTCTACTCGATCATGCTGAGTCTTTTTCCCCGAAATCCTGCGGTCAGTTCTGCAACTGGAGGGTGTTTTTGCACAGTGAAGAACGATAACTGACCACCAAAGGTATCCAATAGAACACTTCCACTTTAGACATCGGCGCAAGACAGCTGCTTCACGCCTGCGGCATTTGCAGCTGGCTAACGAAGGTCACGTGATCAGACATTTGCGATGGTGCTCACCTAACCTGGTTTGGTCGGCCCCGTGTACGTTCGACCGGATTGCTCGAACTTCGTTGGTCCTAGGCCCGGTTCCGTATCCCTTGGCTCGAACCCAGGCTCGGGTGCCCGTCAGTGGTCAGGAACATTGCTCTACTCTGGGATAAGACTCCGTACGGCCGTCCGTCGGACTGAGATACACACTAGCCCACGGTTTGTTCGTCAGTAACCACCGTCTTCATAACGTCACATTGATTAGTTATCTGACAACCTAAGCTATTTCCCGTCCAGTCGGCCATCCTATGCGTGAGAGGATATGTCCATCCCCGACCTTTTATCTTGCGAATCACTTGGCTGTTAAGAGCCCAAGTGGTGAGACTGTCTTCGAAAAATGTCTGACAACCGCTAGCAAATCTTAACACGAGCATAGTCTCGAGTTTCCTACAGTCTCAAACCACTGCGGGAGTCGACATACCGACCCGCTTGTATCCGACACGGCTGCTATCATGCCTGATCTAGTCCGTCTCTACGATTTCGCGGTTTATGTTTTACGCGCAACGTGCACACAGACTAAGAATTTGTAAGGACCCTGCCACAAGGGTCAGTTCGGACAACGGTGTCACTACTCCGTCTATTCAGCAGTATTTTTGTCCCGAGATGTCCGCAACTGTTTACTTCCACAAAACGACAGTCGGTAATCGTAAGCTCCTGGCCGGAAGTACAGCTCTAAATTACTGTCTTTAAGAATGTCGACAGGCAGGCCGGTCTATCTAAAAAGTTGGTTACTGGTAGTCGCTTACAAGGCTGTAGTTGATTACTGCATTAAGGAAACGAATAAAGCTGATTATCGCAAAGGCAGGCTTCAGCTAAACAACGACGTCAAGGAAGCCGAAATGTCCCGCTGAGGCCTTTGGAGAAAGTTGCTAAGTTTAAAGTAGAAGGAAAGGGCGACATAAAACAGAATTCTATTATACAAGGAGCACAAAAGTAAACTAGGAACGATGACGGTCATCTACTTATCAAGAGGCCGCAAGGGAGGCAATTGGTTTCGGAGCTCACGACCAGGGTTGCGGGCGTGCTCTTGGAGCAATTTAAGTACATCGGTTTGAAACTCTTGAGGCGCCTCCTGGTTGCCTAGGGTAGAATAACCTCGGGTAAAGACGAGATAAGAAACATTTGGTCACATTACTCGGCAAGCAGAAGGGACGTACCTGTTGCCCAATAATAAATGTCCCAGTCGTTGTCTGGCTTGTTGATGAGGTTGTCATATGCTTCAAGCTCAAGTTCGTTCATCCCAGCAAGGTACTTATCTGCAAATGTACTGAACAGAAAGATTTGTGGGCAGAAAACGTAAGACTAAAACTTAACCCGAACAACAAACAAGACGAAAACGATGCGGGTGTACACAAATGGCAGTGTCTTCACAAGTGTTAAGAGCCTGGGGCTTGGTACGGCCGAGCAGTTATGACTAACAGACCAGGAACGGCCATTCCCCTTGTCTTTGCCAGTAATCTGCATTTATTCCTGATTGCTATGAAACTGTCTGTAAGGACTCTGCATTAAGCTCCAAGGAACAACGAAACGGGTATGTCCTGTAACGCGATCAGTGGGCGCCCCTCTACCATGGACGGACAAACTCGTGCCGTTGGGGCCCGATCCAGAGCCCCACAGGCAGCCACACAGCGGCTAGTGGTATAGGCAGAATTAGGTAAACCGACAAGGACAGGAGAGACTTCAGTGGCCATTCTTGGCTTATTAGCTGTCGGCAGTCAGTCTTGCCCAACTCCAGGTTTTGAGGCATCCAGGGATTGAACCCACATGCTTTTGGTTATTACACGTCAGCGAATCTAGCGCTCTAAACCGCGGGCTCGCTGTCTCGTCGGTTGTGATCGTGAGCACTATGTCGAAAGTGCGTTCCTAATTGGGGTACAGGACGTGCTCGTCCCGTTGCGCTTTAAAGTTCAATCTGGAGCTCAGGAAGGGCTGGGTGTAGTTAGTAAATAACGGCTAATGGGCTAGAAACGACAATACCAGTCTCATTTGACTTTTTCGGAGCTGCATCTAGCATGTATCTTCGTACTCCGTCCGAATGAACATGAAGGCGAGATACGCGGAGCGCGAACAACAAATACGGAAAATTAAAACCGGGGGAATAGTCGTTATGCCGACGACGCCCCGTCCCCGAACAGCACACATTAAACACTGTAGAGTGCCGTACGAAACTTATCTCCAGTGGCGGGAGCTTGTTTGCTTTTTGAACGTCAGGACAATGAAATCATGGTTGCTGCAACCGCACGAAAGGAGGCCCAGTAAAGATAGATAATGATGGCTCTACCAGGAGTGAGTGAGAAGGACCTAGTTAAACGGTGTATTTCTCATTTCTTATCTCCGATGTTCCGCTCGAGTACGAGTGTGAAACGTCAGATGAATAAATCATCTCCAGAGCTCGCCTTACCTTCATCTTCCATCTAAACACCTGGGGTCAGCATTTTCGCTAATATCTATTGCCGGAGTTTACTCCTCTGAAAAACGCCGATCTTTTGAAGCCATGCATTCCGATGAATCATGTATTAATCAGCACATTAAGTTAGATGCCATGTACACAAATCTCAGTGGAAAAGTGGAGGCTCGCCGATGAGGTTACAGGAAACGCTTGTTTCGTCGTACCTCGGGGCTTAGTCTGGAGCCTTCGCAAACAGTCGCATATGGAATAGTAGTATATGTAGCGAAGGGAGTGGCGACAAAGACAAGGGAAGTCGAGATTGTCATTGCCACCTCGTTTTACCCGCTGTGCATGATGGTCATGCGAGAGGGGCGGGACTGCAACTTCAGTATTAGTGACTTAATAAATGTCTTTGATGAAATAAAAACAACAGGAATATGCGCATTATTACAGAAAGAAGATCGAACTTACGCCAACAGAATTCCGTTTTCCAGGTTTCCACGTTTACGACTTTCGTAGAGCAGGCGGCTCCGTTTAGTTTTGATGTCCTCATTCTTGCGTGTGGGAGGGTCAAAATTCATACAATATCCGGCAGTTTGTTGGTGGAAGACGGAATAAACACAGCCAGTCGCGACAGACAATCGATTAGCAAGAATGGGTAGACGCCGAGCCGGTGCGCTGAGGAACCAGGACATGGTCTGGATGAGAAATCAAACGCACGAATAAAGTAGACCATGAACAACAACATGCGAAGCAGGACAAAAGGAGGAATAAGGACAGACACGCTAGGGAGGTGCCTGCGTGCTGTTATGAGCGCGTAACAGGAAAAGCGATGTAGAGAATAATGCACGAGAAAGGATGAAATGCTTCGTGCATATGTAAAGGCATTAAGATACCAGCTAAAAAGTTGTCGATATGGAAGGCCCTTCAAAGCTCTCAGATCAGTGACGTCACTAGCAGTCGACGCAAAAACCCGGGATAAAAACGGCCGGCTCGGGGTGACCGTCTGTTTCCCAGGAATTCGTTTTTAACAGAGCGGCTGTTTGTTAGCCTTTCCAGAGAACCCACTCACTAGTGCAAAGTAACAAAGTTCGCATCGTGACGACCTAGTAGTTAAGCCATTGATGATGGAATTATCAAACAAAGGTGATCAAACAAGTTCCACAATGGACAGCGCTTCGGATGTAGCAGCCGCAATGCCCGTGGAAGGAGGGACATGCCACGGAAAAATATGTGCGTTAGCTGATAATCCTTTTTTTCTGGATAGAGGGCTAGTTAAATAACCCTGTCTAACAAACGCAGGGGGATTCTCCTGGGTCCCCTAAGAATATTGCACCAGCTTATTGCATCTTACTGCGAACGCCATTTTGTTACTAAATTGCTTGACAAAATTACGTCAACTAGCCGTTTTTCGTGATTTGCGTCAAAGGCCTCAATGGTGTACACAAGCAACAATTACGCGCACCATCGTATAGACCGTGCACGGATTATTACCGAACCTGTGATTGGCCAGACAGCCTGTCGCGGATAGCCAAGCTAACGGAAAGTGCCGGGTGTGCAACCCCAACACCAAAGACGATTGGGTGGGCCGTGTAAAAAACAAAGATAAAGGAAATCCAACAAGTAACATGTGAAAAGAAATGAAAAAGATTGAGGAAGGGAAGAGGAAACCATTCGTATAATGATAGAAATTAGGATATATTACTCGTGACAGACTTCGTTATCCAGGTTCTCGTCGCCTAAACAATTAATTGTTTCCTTCTACCCTGACAGTAAAATTATATCAAATCACTAAGCAGTCGATATGGTGAAGTAAGCCGGCAAGCTTTATCATGAAATTCACAAATACCAAAGCCTTAGCCCTAGCTCCAAACCCAAGATGTGACCCCAAACACAGACCTAAACCCAACCCCAAATTTTGGAATCCAGTACTTTCGTCATGCTTGTCGTTTTCCTGAACACTTTCGTGTTTACGTCAGCACAATCGACAGTATCATCCACATAACGAGCCCAGAATTTCGGCCTGTGGTGTCGGAAAACCAGTGACTCCAACCGTTGGGGTCGGCTTCGGCTATGAGTCCTGAAATCAGCAGACCCATTGGCTTGCACATCAGCTGCTCGTAGATTGTTCCGTAAAGTTTAGCATGTCTTGAGACAGAACTTCGGGAATTGAGGGATCTGGACGCATTCGAGGCGATTCTCCGTTTCATCGTTTTTATCTCATGGGAGTAGTTCGATTGTCTGGACTGCCAGGTCTTTCGGGCTAGTAGTAGAAATGGACGTGTCATCGAGGGATACCATGACTTCACTTGTTTGGAGACTTGACCCTTTAATTATTTTTAAGAATTGTGTTGAGAAGCTGACTGTGGTGTTCGAGTCGGAGGTCGGAATTTTAGGACGGTAAAAGAGCCACTGCCAGTCCATAGGTGGGAGGGCGTTTTAGTTAAACTATCGGCTGGAAAGGAGAGCCTTCTTTGCGCACTTTTGGAAGACCGTGGAATCGGGCCAGAGCAGTTGCTTCTGGTCTTGCCACGCGTCGATCGGTCGGCCGTATTGTACCTGAGTTCCCCATCAGCGTCGCGCCGATCTAGCCTGTCACGGTCTTTATGGGGCTGGATTCGCAAGGCAGACCACCGAGACGTTAGAGTCGCTTTACATCAGGGGCGATATCGTGGAACGAACACACTGGCTGCCACAGGGTCACAGCGGCTGTCGTATGCACCCGCGTCTACTTCTTTGCGGGAACAAATCTCACATAGTCGTCGGCGCCTACGTCTCTTACCGACCAGTACTGATGAAGGAAGGATCAAGTTCTACGAAGACATGCACGTCCTCCTAATAACTGTGTTGAAAGTGGAAATATTTATTGTCCTCGATGGCTTAAATTCCTCACTAGTAGACACAAAGCTATTTAGGAGAGGGTAGTCGGTCGTCACGGGATTAGCGGCCTCAGCGGCAATGGACTATTCCTTTTGCAGATATGTATGAAGAACAGTCTTCTCTTGACTAATATTTCCTCCTCCTCTCGATCCAGGAGGAGATGACGTGGGTAAACCCCCATCTGCGTGCACAGTAAACCAATATCAGGCAAGTAAAATACTGTGGATTGATACAGCCGGCCGTAAATTGAATCCTAGGACTTGCATAGAGTAAAATCTAAAACAATGACGTGTATGCCAATATCCAGATCCAGTAGAGGGAGACACATGACACCAGTCAGACCACCGCATTGAAAGCTCTGAATTTCAAGACGGATTTTCTGACAATGACGAGGACATCCACAATCTGCCGTCTGAGGAGGACGAGCCATACACGACTCACACCATCATCAACAACAACCCCAGAAAAGTTCTATACAGTAGGTGGGCTAACTCATGAAACGTCAACCGAAATTTCGAAATGCATTCTCGGTTCGAAAAGATTAAGTAAGTAAATATGACTAAACCCGCGTCGTCCGGCGGAACCTCGTAGCTCAAGTGGTTAGAGCGTTGGCGGTACTACAGCCTTCTCCTTACTGCGTGGATTCGTATCCCACCGAGGCGCCGAGTTTTTCGCAGTTGGGTCAAAATGAATTAAGTAGAGTTGTAAGACTAAACGTCTTGCAGCATAATTCTATGATGATCCCGGTACCTCAGAGTGTCAGCTTTCGAAGGAGCTTATTTCCGAATGTATGCAAGAACTATACTCTGCAAAAAATGACTACTTAAATGGCAGGCAATTTTCTCATTGATTTTCGATGCCCTTGAAAATTCAATCATATTTTGTGGAAAACACATAAAAATATTCATTCATACTCACATCTTTTTTCAAGTTCATACTCAAAGGAGTGGTATAATTCGGTTTCCAAAAGTGTTTCCGATTCCCGAATAATTTTGCACCCCACCTGCTCTTACACATGCATTCATGGTTTCAAAACTACAAGCCGTATATTTTCTGTGTACGAAAAAACATGCATTTCTCTACGGTTTTAGGAGCAGATGATATGGGGTTCATAAAAGTAAGCTGCTGATTTAAGCAATATTGTTGACTTTACAAGCCACATTCGTAAATGCACATACATGACGTTTTATGAACGGCCATCTCAAGGTTTTAATAAATCTCACAATTGGAGTCTTTTTTGAAACCGAATTATGCCCTTCTATAGAGTATAAAATTGGAAGAGGACGTGATTTTCTGTCGAATAAGTAAAAGAAGAAATATTTTTATGCATGTTTTCCACGAAATGTAATTGAATTTTCAAGAACATCGAAAACCAATGAGAAAATTGCGGCCGTCAGAAGAGTCTACGATCCGTAAGTCAAAGGTACTGTGCCACTTCTGAGCAAGGATGGAACAGCCCTCCTGATGGAGTTGTCACGGATCGTGAAAAGCAAGATGCAAAAAAGTCATCAACAGGCTTCATGATGTGGGCACCAATAACGACCTCGAGGGTCCGGCTCCCAGGCACGGTCTAAACAGTACAACAGTTGTCAAGTGGAGGAGCGCCTGAAACAGACGCAATTCCAGCCAAAGTCGACAACTATGGCAGCCAAAAACCTGTGGAGAAGATAAATATGCAGTTAGAGGGGAGATGGATCAAGCACAGAACCCCATGACTTTAATAATGCCGACATTGTGCATGTTCACTGGCAAATCTGCAATAACCACCCTGGAACCTCCTTCGTATCGCCCATTTCCTTTTCAATCCTCTAAAACGCATCTGGAGGAGGGGCTTCTATCAAGAACGAAGTGAAAATTCCAAAAACATCAAGGGACCAGAAACAGGGTCTTCGTGCTTTTCAAACTTCAAGAAACGAATTAGGAAACGCGGACGCCCTTCACTTTCGTCGAACTGGCGGAGTTCGCCGACACACTGGATTGAAATGGATTCTAAAGAATTATTTTGAACTTCGGATATCCGAGGCGATTAACGCACAAATGCTGAGACAACTACCTGAAGAGGCAATGACGGGCACCACGGACGTTTGAAGCATTTACCGTGAATACTGCGATAAAGCAGGGTTGCGTACTCGCCCCTACCATATTCAATCACATGTTTACTGCCATGGTGATGAGCGCATTCTGTGAGGAGCGGCAGGGGATCGACACCGGCTGTCAAAACGACTGAAGACTACTCAGTATCCGATGTGTGCCAAATACTAACAACGCCCAAGCCCAAATCATCGCCAATCGAACTCCCCTCACAGTAGTAAGGATATTTGCCTAGCTTGGTGATACCATTTCAAGAAACACCAAGATTGACTACATAAATCATAAGTATGACCTCCAAAGCCAGACAAGTCTTCGACTGGCTAAATCATTCCGCCTTATATCGTCGTGGTGTCCGTCTCAGCACCAAAACTGTGGAGGTAAAGGTTTGTTACCCTGACAACGCTCTTGTATGTGGCGGATCTGTGAACTATATATAAAGGCCGAACCAGAGGACCCAACTATTTTATCTCAACCGTAACTAAAGCGTACTGAAGGTGAAGTAGCAGGAGAGGATCCTGTACACTGGCATCCTGGAAAGCGCCGACGTCCTCAGTATCCAGGCAATGGTGAGGCAGATGCAACTGTGATGGGGCGGTCACGTCATGAGGATCGGCGACCAGTTTCTGCCAGGCGGCTATTCTCCGGCGGCGTAGTTCCAGGTGGTCGTAAACAAGGGAAATAAAAGCGTTGCTACAAGGGCAGCTTAAGGACTTTATGCAAACATCTACAAACCGACCCGCCGTCATGAAATGGCCTCACTCAATAGCGCCGAGCATGGCTCACTACCACAAAAGCTAGAGCAATCATCCTCGAAGTCAACCGGACAGTCGCTGTGAAGGCAAATAATGAGACTCGCATAGTTCAAGTGTCTCGGGCTAACAAAACGGGCACCGAACATTTGTCATCGCGTTCACATTTTCAGCGAAAACTCAAGCCACGGATCGGCATCGGGGGACTTCCGCAGACTCTTCAGAATGTGAACACGTCCAACTCCCTGTCAGTTCATTGCATAACGCCATTTCAAAGGTCAGAATTACTACCCCCGATGAGGCCACTCCTACTGTCGTTTCCAAAATTACCACAACTGAAGTGAACTGAATTCCAACTCGTCTCCATTGTAATCCCACTTTTGAGCCCCTCACTGGCCCGGTGGTCACAAGCGAATAGACCGCACTGAAACCGGCGAAAGAGTGCCAGGAGGCCATACATACATACATACATCTTACCTGTCCACACTTCCTGGGACATTGGAATTTCGCATGGACCTTCCCGGTCACATGAGCATCCATGACATAGGGATCTTCCGTAACACCACCACAACCAATCAACCTAATGCAACCGAAATTTCCTCTACCGCTGGCACTAATAAACCCCTCGCTTCGACATCAGCGTCTGTACCAGCAACATTTTAGCAGCTAGATTTCCGACATGTCTATAGTGGCACTGCACATCTGCGAATCCATCGTACGGAGATCGGCGAACTGGTGTCAGGAGTCCTCACGTATGCTCGTCTATCCTGCTTCACCTGTAAACGCTGCCCTAGGGCATTCAGTCATCGCATAAGCCTATTCAGCAACGTATGCTTCCACGAAGTCTTCAGCAAAAGGGCACAATTTTAACCCACTTAAACTTAATCCTACTTGAAAAAAACACCCCTGGTCTGCGTACGAACTTACTTTATAACAGGCGCACACACTCCATGTCACCATACAACACCATACTTTACTATCACAGCAACCATACATCCATTTAGCCATTGTTGACATGGAGGGTAAAACACCGCATAACGGAACATGCGCATTTAACATAAGTGGGAACTATACCCGTCGATACAGGCCAGTACACGACGTGGGAACTGGGTCCTATGTGCGGTACGCGTATATGGACCGTTTATTTGGTCAGTCCACGATCCAGTTTTCGTCTTTGGTCATCTTGGCGGTGTCTTGTTATCGAAACAAGGTAGGTCACGAAGAGAGAATGTAACGGATGCTACACAAGTCTGACACGTTATAAACTAATTTCGGCGCAAGTCACCGCGTCGGGCTCAGTGGACGTCGGCGCCTGCGACGGTCGGACTGTCATACGTTCATGTCCTGAGAGTTTCAGAACAGCCCTTGACGACCTTTGCAATGCACAGCCACACCTACAGTGAGTACCTTTAAATAACTATAGTGAAATAACTGTCTGCAGTGTGCTGGGAGACGCTCTAAAACAATTCCGTAGTGATGTATTATAAAGACATTGTACTCGCGAATTGAACTTTAGACCGAAATGTTATTTTAAACCAAATCAGTCGACTTGCTTTTTGCTCTCAGCCAATGTTATCGGGATGCCAACTCTTGTTTGGAAGTAGGTTCCATTGTCAGACTATTTCCTGTCTGAAATTTAAGTGAATGCTTTCTTGTTTGACCCTGCAGTGGTGAGCACGCAAGTGATCATTACTCTCAACTCCAAGGATGTCTTTAGGTTATAGTAAGCAGCCATGTTCAAAGGGGATACGGAATGCCCGTAGCGTGCTACATCCTTGTTGTCCTCAGTATAAGAGAACAGATAGAGCTCGATAAGTCGTACAACAGTCTTTCCTCATCCAAAACATCCCTGTTGACATCCCTAACTCCAAATGGCGTCTAACGAACGCAACAAAAATCCGTCCGAGAATTCAAACGGAAAGACAACGACAGCACGCCTAATCCACTGCATGATAGCAGTTGCTCACTAACCCTTTTGGGAGTCTCCTAACAAAATTAATTCTCACGGCCACCCAAAAGCCTTGACACTTATGCGCTTCTAAAATTTTACCCGAATCCCTTTTATGCAATACCGTTATTTTGGGAAGTGTGCCCAACTACCCTTCGCACGTAAAACAAGGATGATGTACATTAAATATCAAAAACCACTTAGTGTCCCAAACAGTGTGTAGTAGTTAATTTTGAGCTGACTTTCTAATTTCTGACTTGGCGTTTGTTATAGGTAATCTTAATTTATACCGACAAGCCGGCGCTGAAAAACGTGGTGGTGATTGTGTTCTTTATGTCGGAATCTCCCTTGAGCATTCGTCCTCTGATTTGAGTATTTCTTCCTTTTCTAGCATTATCTGTTTCGTTTTTATCCTCCTCCCATAAAATTCACTGTCGTATTGCAACTTCCCTATTTGCAAATCTAACGGTGAAACGCAACCACCCAGGCTTTGCTAATGTTAACAGGGACTTAGTAAATAACTTTACAAACACCCTCGATTGGCCCAATATTTTATCAAATAATGACCCAAACATTTTCCACGATTTATTGCAGTGCGTAACAGAAGGTCTTTTTGATTTCATTTCAGTGGAAATGTTAAGGAAAAAGCCGCACATTCCACTGTCGAAAACTTTATCAAAAATAGACTTCAAACTTACGAAGGCAGTCTAAAAATCCATCCAAAAGCTCATCATTGGCTCATTTAGGCATCACAGAAATACTTGAATTAGTTTCTAAAAGGAGGTTTACGCGAGAAAGGCGTGAGGCGTCTTGGGCCATTAGTGATATAATCCCTTCTAGATCAGATTAGATCAGATTTATTAAGGGAAAAGTAGGCGAGCGCCTTTGAACTCCCTTTTGGTTACAATAACGTCATAAAAAAAAACAATGTGTAAGGCAAGTGTGAAAAAAATTAGGTAAGTAACTACATACAACAAGCATTGGTCACTGGTATGAATTTGTCTGTGAATGCCTTCTACGTCAAAATTGTACAATATCCAGTACGGTACTGAATGGACCAAGTAATATCAAAGCAAGCGCATATGTGGCGGTCAGGAGATAGCGAAAATTGTAAAACGTAATGTTACTAAAATATAGGGAGTAGCACGCTTTGTAACATAAAACGTTGGATAGGGCGGGTGGCACAGGGGGGAATTCGTTAGTTTCTGATGCTGTGGAGGTACATATCCCTGTACTGGTCAAGCTTTCTCTTATATGAGTCCACGGATGAGGACATGACGACATCCACAGGCAGGGCGTTCCATGCCTTTACCACTCTGTGGCTGAAGAAGGACCTCCTTGCGTCCAGTCTCGCTCCTGTCACACGTAGTTTCAGAGGGTGTCCTCTCAAGCTAGTAGTGGTGGCCAGCTTCTAGATCTGTTGCTCACGTCCCCGTCCGTGCTCGTCAGCCAAGTCCCATCAAATCATTCTGCCTTTGCTAAGTTGCAGCATTATCTTCACTGCAGAGGAGTTGAGAGAATAAGAACAGCTAAATTCACTCTGCCAAGCAATTTGTTATGAAAACTGACCTCATACCCTCAATCTCTTCGTCATCTGTTGCGTTTGTGGCGGTCAAGGATGTGAGATCAACTTAAACCACGCACAATTAGTCCGTTTCGTCTAATGACAGAAGTCAGGGAGCTGTGAGGACTAGTTTATTCTGTACACAGGGCAGGTTGCCGTGAGTTGGCTGTTTGCTTGCAACAGAGAAAAGCGTCCGTTCACGGAGAGCGTCAGTCGCGGTGCCTTGTTTACGCGGGTGTGAGTGTCTGGGTCAGCAGGGGGGGTGACTGTCTGCGTGGTGGTCGTGTGATTGGACAAATTAGGGGAAGAATGGAGGGTGCATACTCACAAGGCCTCACGGGAATCAGGCCAGAGCGTTCGACGCGCGTTAGGTGATACTAGTTTGTGAGGGCAGCCGGGAGTCACTGCAGCTGGACAGGAGGAGCCCCCAGTTCTAGCCGGTGTGGGTGTTCGTGTGTCAGAGGCCTGTCAGTGCTTGTCGCGGCCATCGACCGACAAAACGGAGCCGGAGAAAAGGGGGGCTGGAGCGACTGCTAAACGTTCCTCACTACCATTAAATTTGCTCCTGCAAGTATTCAAAAAATGATAAGCCAGCTTACTTACTCGCACTCAGTAGGAACTGGCTACATCCCGAACTCTCTTATACAACAGCTAAAGGATATTTCTTCACTACCAAGCAAATTATTCTCAGTCTTTGCAGATAATGGTCTCTCTTCCGATCGTTGGAAAACTTCTGTTATTATTAAAGGGTATAAATCTGGCTATCGTGCTAAGGGTCAAAATTATAGGGATGTTCATGAGCCGTCCTCTTGCGTCAAGCGTTTGAAAAAATTATTGCAATAAAAGTACCGACTTCTGCATAGCCAATCAAGCTATTTGGTTGTCTCAACATGACTTTTTACCACATCGTTTTTGTGAAACGCCTCGTATGATTTTCTTAATCTACTTCTTTCTTTTCACCATGGTCACCCAGCTTTTAGCTAGTACCTGTGTTGCCAGTATAGTAAGCAATTAAGCAGTTGTATACTACTGGCTGTCCGTGAGAGGTTTATGAATACTACGCGATTATTCACAGAAGCTGATGGACTTCAGCTCAGATATTCAGATCAACTTTCGGACTGTGCAAGAGAAGGTGTATTCCGAAGAATTTACTCCGAGTTCGCGCATTAAATACCTTGCAAATTCAAGGAGCCGAGGCTAATGTTCCTAGAATTGAAAATGTCTAAAGGCCCTTTTCTGGGAAACTGTAATGTACAGCGTATCTAAATACCTCCTACCCAAGTAGATGCCGACAAACCTAAAATTTCTGTGGGTTCGAAGACTACGATTTGGTTTCTGTTTCCTTTTTACGTTAATAACAGCTCAGATCTTCCTCGGATTTCAGACCTTAGGTCTGTTAGTCGCATTAAAGCTTCACAATTTTTCCTTAATTGTACTTCATCTATCTTTTATATCTGGAAGCTCTGTCTCCTTTGCTTTCCGGCA